TCAATATATTAAGCAGTGTGGCTCATCGACGCGGATTTCAACAAATGTAGGATGTGGCTCAACAAGGAAAAGATTTCCACAAGTTTACATACAGCGTAATTACAAAATTGAAGAATTTCTAACTAACCTTTTCTGGCATCTGGGTTGGTGAGGGCAACTCCAATTCCGTCACATACATTTTTGGTGCAGACTGTTGTCCAACACTGAGTTTATTGCTCTCCGTCCAGAAGTCTAAGCAATCCTTCATTCCAAATGTGTCATTGTAAGGAGATACACTATCCCGTTCCCTTGGTGGATCACGTTGTGGGTCTTCTGGTTCACTGGAACAGTCTCGGATGGGATGCATGAATCCATCTTCTTTCAATTTCTCCATAAATTCTTGAGGTGTTGCACATGACGGATGCAGAGATGGTTCATTCAACACACTGTACACGCCATCATCATTCACTTTGTACAGTTTTTGGTTCACTACACTTTTGAGGGGGGCTCTAGCAATCGATGGCCATGAACTGTTCTCACTGTGTGACCAAGACACTCTGCCATTCCCAATGCAATCAAGGGCTTCTATGAGTTTTGGTTTACAACGCAACTTCATGACGCCTACTTGAAAGGAATGGTGAAGTCCCGTCTTGAACAAAGGCCAATAACAAGAAGTCAAGCAAAAGAAAGCGAATGCCTACAGAATCTTGCCTTGAGCAAAAGCTGATGACAAGAAGTTGAAAACAAACTGGTTTAAAGCCTCGTCTCAAACAAAAGCTGACAACGAACAACTGACCAATGAAGAAACTTGAAGACTGAGAGGTCCATTTTGAACAAAGTTTATTCCGATGCCAAATGATTCAAAACAGTGCAAATACAATGAATATACAAAAGAGACTCTCATGTTTCAACAAAAATACCCGTCAGCCAAAAAGAAAGTCACTGCGTCCCAAAAACAAAAAGTTTATTGAACTTTACATGGTCCAGTAGAGGCTCTCAGCCTTGGATCAAAGTCAGGTCGCTGCTCTGAGCAAACTGGCGACCCCCATGACTGACTAACCAATAACCGCCAGACCTTGTGCATGAGATGATGACCCTAGGATGGGTCAAATTGCGATACCTCATGATAGACCCAACTGCAAAGCGTCCAGATCCCCTCTCGGCAGCTGCTCTTGGCACTCCTTGAAGGCACTTGACTGAGAAGCATTTGTCGATCAAACAACGCTGGAACACGTGCAAAATCCTGAAACAAAAAGATGATCAGATCTCTGGAAAAGGTCAATACAACAGATTAACCTCTTACCCTTCAAACAGATCAACGGCGCAGTCCATAGCCACTTGAGCCACCGGACCTCCCAGACAAGACACCTTCGTCCACAGTGGTGTCACGGCTACTCCGGTTCGTCCACCTTAAGACCCTCTTCGTACCGGGTTTAGTTCGGTCATCGAACCTCTAGGGTATGTCCTAGTTTGTAGTAATGTAAGACGTGGAGGCGCCTCCCAGCAAAGACCAAGCCGAATTGCCATCGCATTCTCCCTAGCAAAGGCCAAGTATGCTTGTAGCATGATGTGCCCGAACACGTTTGGGTTAGTCTTGATCCACTGGCCAAGTTGATAGTTTGGAGTGACTACCAAAAACCACCCCTTTATTCCATCCAGAGCCACGACTTGAATCCCAACCATTTGTCGGAGTTGACTGGAAAATTCCTTGATAAGTCCAAATCCAGCCTGAAGTCTGATTGAATCAGGAATACGCTCCAACCCACTCCTAAACTGCAAGGGAAGTTGGGGCAGACGATCCTCCATTGCAAGATCCTTGTGGAAGAAGCCTCCAGTAGGCATGGGAGGTGGAACTGAAGCTCCAAGCGCCACCCAACCGCATTGAATGTCGAGCACATTGTGAAGTATTTCCAGAGGAATATTTAGTGTTTAAAATAAAACTCAAGAATTTGGTTGGGCTACAACCGGGGTGACTGAACACCCTATTTTGAAGTTGATATATTTCAAATATAACATGGTACACTTTTTCCAAGTTTTCTGTAGCTGTTGTCTGTTGGAAGTTTTTCAGAGAAGTGAAGTAAATGGTGAGAGAAGAGTCACCAAGAAAACTATCCTCAAGGATGCAAAAAAAGGGGTTGGCCACAGATGGCCTCAGAGATAAACAGCAGATGGTTGCAAAGAAAATATCGTTTTGAACAGATTGCACCCCCCTTCCAAGAATAGCAGACCCTGGAGGTTGCATTTCAACCCTCCAGGAAGTCCTGGGAACAACAGGGCTTCCCCCTGTCCCAGGAAGTCTCCAAGGGCAGGAGAGACAAGTTTTGGGGAGAGCCAAAACTTGTCTCCTCTTTCTCAGAAGTTCTACTGCTAAAAAATTTGCCACAAAAACCCCCCTTTTGTTTCTTGAAATGGAAGAAGAGAATTTAAAGAAATGAAAGTGCTTAGAGAACTTTTTTGTAAATTTCTAATTAAAAAAGGGTTAGATGTGTATTAGAAGGGTATTCAAAAAATAGGTTGGACGTAAGGTGTGTTGAAAACAGTTCATAGAAACATATTCAGTTTTTTGAACAACAAAAAATACATTGCTATGAGCAACACAAATGTTTCCTTGCAGTTGACAAATTCACATGAATGTTGATGCTGATCAAATCAGGACTTCTTCCAGGCTCTTCTGAAGTATGGCTTTTCCCTCTTGTTGTTCATCAGTTGCATCTCTTGTCACCAGCAATGGCATAGTGTTCCCTCAGAAGGAATTTTCACAGTCTCCATTTTGAGGTCTTTTGTTCCCTTCCAAAAGCATGTGGTTAGTGAGTTTCTTTCAGTTGATACAAGTGCAATACACATTCAAACAATTGGGTTACAAAAGAATAGAGCTGGCCAGGCTCATAAAAATACTCAGTGTCAATACTCCCATGAAGTTGTTTTGAAGAAATCTTGTCCTTGTTTGTTTCACTGTTGTTTGAAGTCCCATCACAGTGCTTGCATTCTCCTTCCTTTTTGAGTGTCTCTCAGCTCAGGTATCAAAGTTGAACAATGGAGTTTGGTTTTTGCCCCTTTTTTCTCAATAATAAGAGCTTTTTGATTCAGTCTTCATTATGAAAATTGATTTTAATCTTTCTCACGTGCACGTGTTTGAAATAGACACAGTTTAGAAGCCTGACTTTGAGTTTTGAATCCTTGTTTTGCGCACCAGATTTTCATCCCTCACTTTGGCAATAGATTCTGATCAGTCCCGCACTTGGGAAAAGGGGATCCCCCCTGCCCCCTTTTTGGTTTTAGGCCATTTCAATTTTTCATTTCTTGAGTGCGCTTTTTTCATTGTACCTGATAAAGTTTTTTATTTGAATTTGAAACCCATTAGGAATTGGACAGACCACAAGAAAAATTTGAACACTTGATCAGATTTTAAGCACAGCAAGAATTTGAATTGCATCAGGAATTGTGACACAGGAATTTGAATCACATACAAAATTTGAAGCACATTCAGAATTTTGTTCACTGGATTTTGAATCACATCCAAAAATTTGCAGTAGGAATTTGAGTCACATCAGGAATTGTAGCACCGGAATTTGAATCACATCAGTAAATTGAATTCACAAATTTGAAACACCTCAGGAAATTGTAGTAGTAATTCCGACCACTTCAGGAAATTGAACATGAATTTTGAATCACGTAAGAAATTCAAAGCACAATTAAAGCACATTTGGATTTTGTTCACTGAATTTCAAATCACATCAGAAAATTGCAATAGAAATTTAAGTCACTTCAGAATTTGTGGCACAGGAATTTGAATTGTATCAGGAATTGTAACACAGGAATTTGAATCACATAAAAAATTTGAAGCACATTCAGAATTTTGTTCACTGGATTTTGAATCACATCCAAAAATTTGCAGTAGGATTTTGAGTCACATCAGGAATTGTAGCATGGGAATTCAAAGCACATCAGGAAGTGTATGAATTTGTACCACAACAGAATTTTGAAGCAAATTATGCATTTTGATTAGAAACACACCAGGGATGTGAGCACAGAAATTTGAATGTGTTTACGGCTTTTGATTGTCAATTGAAGTCTGATAAATGTATTTCCTCTTTTTTTCTCTTGTAAGAAATTCAAATTTAGAAGTACAGAATTCAAAACTTTCCATGGATGATTTCAGAAAACTGAATTGATTTTGGTTCCACTCTCTCCTATGTATTGCTTCTTGATGCCACTCACTAGCTTTGAAGCAACATTGGTCCCTCACTTGGGCATCATCTTCTGATGGATACATTTTGAACTGAATTGGTCAGTTAATTTTAAGTTTGAACTCCTTGACTAGCTCTTCATTTTCACTCTTGACAATTTGTTCTTATTTGCATGATGCACCATTTCAGATTTCAATTGTCTCCTGATGGACTCTAGGTAGACATTTTCCTCAAGAAATATTTCTTTGATTAGTTTTGTTATGTGTAATTCATGTTACAGAATTCTCTTGGTTATTGAACTCAAGGTTGAACTGTCATGTCCTTAGGACATTTGAGTGTTCCTGAGACATTTGCTTGTGGGAAATTAAAATTATTTTGACAAATGAATTTTTTGAAAAAGAAGTTTTAATGAAGGTCCAATGCCCCCCTGCAATTACCAGACAAACACAATTTCGTATCGCCATCATCTGAGACCTATGGAAAACATTTTACGACGGTTATATCACATTGCTTTGCCAATTTCCCTCCACAAAACAACCCAAACATCTAGAACACCTAGAACCTCTTGAAGGCCAAATTGTCCTCTTAAACCAAAAAGCATTCAAAAAAGACACACCTATGGGCCGCTTCAAATGGAAGTTATGCCGCATCGTCCATGTTCACCGCAGCAAATGAGATAGAAAAATCCAAGCAGTTGATGTCCTAACATCCTGCTGCTACAACCATGATGGTACATCCACTCCTCACATCCTAAAAAACCAATCTATTCAAAATCTTATTCCATTAGAAATTCCAGACCAAACTCCAAACTCAAACAACAAGATCAACACCAAAAATGCTTCAAATGATTCTCTTTGCCAACCATGAACAAAATGAACAAACACCCGTATTGCAAAGTACCAAAACTCATCATTTCAATGCGTCAACAAAGTATTAATCACTGACCCCGTACATCCCCCCTCCAACCTTTCAACGAACAAAATGCCAACAACCGCCCCCAACCTCCTATCCCAATCTTTACACATCAGATACCCGCAATACGCATTACAACCAAGATCATCAACCAAACAGACAACTCCTACACCACCCTTTTTGCATCCCGAACTTTGTCGTCCAACACCAACTGTCAACCACCAAGTCCAACGACCCAGTATGACTTCTGGTGCACAACAGCCACCACCTTTTCCACACCCGTTGCCTTCACTATCACCACATCTCCTGGAACAAATCAACCATCCTTCCCACGCTGGCGAGTAATGGAGACCACCAAATCCGTAGCAAAGGTCTCGTCATACCCACCATCCAACAGCGACTCACATCTGCAAAATACACTTTGTCAACACCTCCATCTCCAAAAGAATACAACTTCAAACTCACTTATGAAATGGGTTTGCCTTAATACCCTTTCCCCCAAACTCCACCTTTCCCACAGCATCAAAAAGACACGGACGATAACTTTGACAAACAAAATGCCTGTGGTTTGAATTTGGCGGCTTGCCCTCCACCGCCGTCCCATCATCCTTCCACATGGGTCCTTGTCCAGGACACAACAAAGTCTCCTTCAAAGGATCACCCGCCGTTATTGTCACAGCAAACAAAATCGCCACTGTGAATTCAGCGGCTTGCCCTCCACCGCTGTCCCATCATCCTTCCACATGGGTCCTTGTCCAGGACACAACAAAGTCTCCTTCAAAGGATCACCCGCCGTTATTGTCACAGCAAACAAAATCGCCACTGCATGATCCCTCGCAAACCAGATAAAGGCACGAGGATTGATATGCCCAAATGATGAAAAAGACAAGTATGACACCTTCACGTATCTTGTCAGATAGCTCAACGGAGTAGGCAAAGCCCACCATCCAGGGCACGTATATGCTTTCCAATAACGCCACCAACATCATTTTCCAACATTTTTGCCAACACCCTCTGACACATATTTGCCGCTTCCAATCTGGACTCCATTGACCCGGCAGATCCATCTTCCTCCATCAAAGGAAACACCGGATTCCCATACCGATCCCGCCAAAATTTTGTCCTGCCTCCTTCCCACTTCCCTGGAGGAGAAGCGCCCAATGCAAAAACCGGACACTTGAAAACCTCTGCCAGCTTTGCAAAGTACACCCTCATTGCAGCGTACAACTCCGTCATTGTTGCATATTTCGCCCCAGACCTCAGGTTACACATATGCTTAATGTCATTTGTTCCCACACAAACACACAGCTGCGTAAATTGGAAGTCATTGTGCAGGCGCAAATCTCGGTACACTCGACGACGCACATCCTCCGGCGTCCACTGGCTTTTCGAAGATCCAACAACTGCGCCTAATCCGCTTACACCATACTGCAAACACAAAAATCATCAATCGACAACATCTAACACCCTTCCTTTTTCCAACCAACCTGATACACCTTGTAAGGCATCCTCTGTCAAGTGCCAAAAATCATAAGCTGGTGGAACGTCCTCCAACGCCGCAACTCTTGTCAGAAACGCCTTATCTGGATCACACAGAAACCAGACAGCCACCAATGACGTCCCAAAAACCAAAACCTTCTCTTTGCTGTCAGCTCCCATCCGTTTTTCACCTCCGATCCCGTAATAATCGTTGATATACCGCACACTCTGCACTGCAGTTCCTGGCACAGACAACTGCATACTACGGACACGGCAAAAGTTCCTCTCCGTGATTCCCATGCACACGCATACGTTCTTGATATACTCAGCCTTATCCTCAGGCTTGAATACCCAATCTCCAACGGCACCTTCACAACACAAAAACGCTGTACAAACCACTTCTCCTCACACACACTTCAAACCAACCTCCAAAAAACAGATCCGACATCGTTCTCCTCGAGCTCCTGGACGAAAACACTGAGGACCCTTCATCATCTTCCTCAAACTCCATTTCTGCCAACACCACCGACGGCCGTGGAACACACCCCATCAAGGGACTAGCCATCACTGCATCCAGAACAACCTATAATGCTTGCTGCGACTCGCCCTCTTGTCTTCTCATTTCCTGCACTGATCTCCCACCAGCCATCACCTTCACCTCGTCCATCCATACTTCCATCATGTCAGAATCCGGACCGACAGCAATCTGCACACCATCGCCTCCACGGACACGATAGATTTTCACCAATCCTACACATACAACTCTATCATCTCAACCAACAACCGAACAATAACCTTCAAAGACGAAAAGAAACAATAACCTTCTTCCTTGCACGTCACCACCAAGTTTGGCAGCAACAAGGGGAATTTCCCACCAATCAAGGTCTTCAAAGCCGCCACACTTGCAGCGACCGCCGTTGAAAAGGCCTCCCTGGCCTGAGCCATAGCCGCCGTTGCCATCGTCCCTGCACTTTCCAGAAACGCCTGATCCTGCTTCATCTGCTCCTCCACAGCAGCACAACGCCTCTCCAATCCTGCAGCCTCATTTTCCATTTGCTGGTTGTCAGTCCTCAGCTCCTCAACCCGCTTTTGGTTCGCAGACAGTGACTGCTCCAACCCAGCTCGCACGGCATTGGTGCAAGCCTGGGTATCAACCACTGGCACCAACGTATGAATTCGAGCCCAGCAATCTGCATCAAACCTCAAGAACGTTTCAGCAAGTTTCCGCACAGCTCCTGGAAACTGCACTACCCCGTCAGCTCCAACACGACGAGCCAACTTTGGTGTAGACGGCCCTGGAATGGCCTCCAACCTCTTCATCACCGGCAACAATGGCAGGCTAAACACGCTTGACGGCGTACTCCGCCCATCATCCTCCAACTCTGCCATCTCTGGAAAAGTGACAAAAGCATGCGTCAAAAAAGAATCAATAAGAAACTGTGACTTCCAAAATACCTTGCTCAATTGAATCCTTCCGTTTGCTCATTGTTTCTCTTCCTACTCCCCACAGACAAAAATCCGCACAACCTGGGAATCAAATAAAGAAATACCTGCAATTACTGCTGTTCAAACAACCTGGAACCTGCAACATTCAACATCTACAATTACTGCTGATCAACAAATNCAAATAAAGAAATACCTGCAATTACTGCTGTTCAAACAACCTGGAACCTGCAACATTCAACATCTACAATTACTGCTGATCAACAAATCCTAATTTGCTATCACTGATTACTGCTGCTTCCGCCACTAGCACCCCCATTACAGGGTCGCTCTATTACAAAATCAAGCACCCCCATTACAGGGTTGCTCTATTACAAAATCCGGTACCCCCATTACAGGGTCACCAATATACGCTAACCTACACTGCACCCCCATTACAGGGTAGCATGTCGTTACAAATTACTAAAAAAGTACCCCCATTACAGGGTCACAAATCAAAACTACAATCACAAAAAAACCGCCGAAACCGCCAAACAAAACACATCACTGGCACCCCCAATACAGGGTCGCCCCTACGTTGCACCCCCATTACAGGGTTGCAGGCACACAGTTGCCTTTCCTGCAAAACACCAGAACGAACATCATCAACCTCCCAAACTCCACTGAACAAAATGCACACAACGGAAAACTCCAACAGTCAATTTATACCCACAAAATCCACAACAACCGCCAACAACTTTCTCCCCAATCCACCTAACCGAAATCCGCAAAGCAGCTTAAACAGACAACTCCAAAAAAACATCACCAAACCTGAAATCCCACAAAATCCTAATCCCTCACTTTCTACTTTCACCACAAAACCGGGAACCGCACAAACTGGCATCTTAAGAAACAATGGACTCCCAACAAGCCTCCGTCATGGTGGCCAAACCGGTCCCTGACTGTGGGCTTGACCGTCCCGCCATCTATCCGATCAAGCCAGGGGGGTTTTATCAGGGACCCCTAGAGGTTGCCCGATAGAACCCTACACATTTCCGCCATACCTGAAAATGCCACAAACACAAAAATGATAAATATTGTACAACCCTGCTTCCAACCAAAAGAACTCACCTCAAACTTGACCTAGGAAACCAGTTTTCCAAAACTGACTCCAGAACTCCGCAGCACCAAAGATTGTCACTCATCTTGTGAATCGNCCACAAACACAAAAATGATAAATATTGTACAACCCTGCTTCCAACCAAAAGAACTCACCTCAAACTTGACCTAGGAAACCAGTTTTCCAAAACTGACTCCAGAACTCCGCAGCACCAAAGATTGTCACTCATCTTGTGAATCGCGCAGCATTCGGTTCTTGAAAGTGTCTTCCAAAAGTGTGATCTCTGAATTTTCTGAAAGTGAAAAACTGTTATCAGATTGTTCTTTGAATTACACTGTTCAAGGAGACTTGGTCTTGGCCGCAAAGGGCCTATTGTGTCTTTCTTCATTTTTCGTAATCTTTGGCTTTGGCTCTTTGGAACCTCTGACAGTGGGGTTAAGAAGATAGGCTTAACATTTCTATTCCAATAATCAACTTAGAAGATATCTGTCCCTGTGTGTGTGTTTACACTTGTAACCAGTATTTGCAGATAAAAGTGTTTGAAATACTTGACTCACAATTCCTTTATAATTTAAAAGGGATAACATAAGGTAGTGCATTAAGGAGTGCTGAGCGGCGTCATGTATTTTGGCTGAGCATCATGTATTTTGCTTCGTGGTGTGTAGGACTTTTGAGCCACGTCATGTTTTTAGCTGAGCCCTGTTGTGTTTAGCGGCGTCATGTATTTTTACTAAGCCGCGTTGTGTGTAGGACTTCTGAGCCACCTTGTGTCTTTTTACTGAGGGGCGTCATGTTTTATTACTGAGTTGCATTGTGTGTAGGACTTCTGACTTCTGAGCTGCCTTGTGTATTTTTACTGAGTGGCGTTGTGTATTTTTGTGTTTGGACTTTACTGAGCCGCATTGTGTGTATTATTTTGGAGCAACTCAAAGAAAATCCAAAACATTGGGTACAGTATTAAAAAATGTACCTGTATAATTCGTCAATCATTTAGTGAGCCACGTTGTGTGTAGGACTCTTTAGCTGCGTCATGTATTTTTACTGAGCCGCGTCATGCTGAGTCCCGTTGTATTATTGGTCCTATTATTTATTGGTGATTGGTGATGTGTGTAGGACTCATGTACAGTATTTTCACTGGCCAGGTCATGTCATGTTTTCTTAATGAGTTGCCGCGTCATGTTTTATTACTGAGTCGCATTGTGTGTAGGACTCATGTTCAGTATTTTTACTGGCCGCGTCATGTCATGTTTAATTAATGAGTCACAAGAAACACATCAGTACCTGATGCTTGTATGATGTCAATGTCATGAACAAAGAAGCATTTTCATGAGGTTTTCATGCAAATTCTGTGTGAAAAAATTAAATGTTGCCTTTTATTTGCTGGGGGTATGGGAATGAATACGCGGTGTGGGGTCGAGAGAGTGCGTGGGGAGGCCCGAGCGTAGCATCCTCGCTAGGGCTCCACATGTGCAAAGTTACGACGCGCCCGGAACCAAGGTCCTGCATGGCACCCGGTTACCGCCTGGCGGAACCGGGTGAGAAAAGATAATTATTATAATTCACCTGCATTGAATTCCGTGAGGCTCCGAAGCCGTCACTCTGCGGGTAGCCTTGCCTACGTACGGTTGCTAGCGGATTTATCGATTTCCTCCCTGAGGACTTGTCTTTGTGTGTGACTTGTGTGAATGATTGCAATATCTTGAGGATTCTGATCTTGGTTCTGTTTCTGAGCGTTTGTGTGTGCACTGAAATAAAAGAGTGCTTAAGGGACTCCCTTCTGGAGGATCCGGCCTCCTAAGGAAGTCAGCGCACCAAGCCATCCACAGTACCAACCACCCGCACGGCGTCGGCGCAGCATAATATCCGCACCTGCGCTCCTCCACACCGTATTGCTGAAACGGCCCATATCGCCGCTGCCAGCTCCGATAGATGGCCTGAAGGATCAGGCCTCCTGCGTGAATCCGGTGCGCCAAAGCCGTCGGTCCCCGACGCGCACGCACCGGCAACACCGGTAATCCATCTTGGCCATGGCGTACGCCATGAACATCCTCATCAGTCTCTTTGGTCGGGGGGGGAGGCGCCCAGCGCCACCACTGGACATCCAAATGCCGCGGACAGGTCAGCGTGATATGTGCGCAACTGCGCAAGGAATGCCGTCACCGAGCTGAAGGGCGATCGGCCGGTCCGAGTCACCAACATCTTAACGTCGTTGGTGCCGATCCGCACCAACACCGTGACGAACTCCATGTCCGTCGGTAATCGCAGGTCCGCCCATACGCGCTGACGAACCGCTGCAGGTGTCAAGGCGTTTCGCCCACAAACGGCGGCGAGGCCGCTTAGACTCCACTACGAACGGAAAACAGCACTCATGCTGCAATCACCTCTCTCCCGCGACATCAAAGGATTCACTCACCTGGAATACCTCGAAAGGCAAGTCCTCGGTCAGGTAGGAGTAATCGAACACCGGCTGCGGGGTGTTCGACCAAGCAGAGATCCGCCCGAAATAGCAGTACAGCTCTCGCGTAATGCGAGACATGGACAGCAGGGAGTCCCCCATCAACAGGATGCAACGTCGACCAGTGGAAAATCCGAGAGGAACTGGCGGCAGCCGCACCTGATCGCATCTAAAGCGATAGTCGGACACCGTGCATCCGGGCGTTGGGAGCTGGGTGCTCCGCATGAACCGTGAACACTCTCCGACTGCGCCTCGCCGCTGGCGAACGTTGGTAACGTATGCCATTGCATCTTCAGGCTCGAATCTCCACGATTCAGCCACGACTTCAAAAAATTCCGCTTCCGGAACGTCCGCCACTATCAGAAAGGTAAGATGTTAACCACTAACCGCGACAGCCCTCAGCATCCACTCACCCAGGGGAGCGTCGAGCATCTCGACGTCGGACTCATCACAGGAGGCGTTCAGCGACGCGTCCACCGGCACTGGCGGCGACTCCACCACGCTGCTAAAGGCGTCCTCCGGCCTCGGAGTTGACTGGTGCTGGGGCGTCGTTGGCGCCGGCATGCTC